AATTTAACTTATTATATTTATAATAAAATAGCTCCAGGATGGAAAACTGTTGCAAAATTGATTCTCAATCCCAAACCTAATGTTGAACATAGTGATGATTTAAAATATAACAGCCCACAATTTAAGTTCGGGACGAAGCAGAAGGAATATGTTCACATTGATTTTGGCAATAAATTAGGATCTGTGAAAGAAGATTTAAAAATGTGGAGTAGCATTGATAAAAATATAGAAAAAGTATATGCTGAAGTTAAGCTTCAAAGGTTTTGCCATTTCTTAAAGCTTTATGATATATACACAGTTCTTTTCCAACTGGCTATAAAGGAACCACCAGACAGCAATCAAAAGATGAATATCAAACAAAAAAAAGATTCTGGAATTCCTCTTGGCATTACTGCACCATTCAGATCCATTCGTGGATAGGTTGGATGTAAAATGAAATCATTTCTTCAAATTAAATCCAGAGGGGAGAGAAGAATCTGGACAGCTATATGCTGTATTAGATTTATTCTGAATGAAAGTTTAGCAACAGTAAAACAGCTTGTGAATTCGAGTGCTTCACTACATTTTTTTCAATTACTATCCGATGAAGACTTCAATAATTTTTTAATTTTAATTACAAATAGAAAACCAGTACATTTCAATCTACCAAATAAAATAGATGATATTTTGGATATACAAAGTAATATTTTGAAATTAGCATTTGCTTTTTTATTATTATCAACATTAACATTAAATTAAAAATTGAATTTATAGACTGAACTTAAAAATCTCATTATCTAGATTAAAGAACAAAGTGTATTTTTACTAATTATCATCTATTAGTTTAGCATAAAGTAAATAAAAGATAACAGAATAGAGAATGAATAATTAATAGCTAATTCTATTTTGTTGACAATAAAATATAATGTTTATTTTTATATATATGAATAAAATTCTATAATGATGACTACCGCCTATTAACTTTGCCACTGGCTTCTAATGCCTATTTATCATCTTTATTTATTTCTAGTAATTTTTTTAAGTCCGCACTTGATTCCTCATATTTGCTCAATATAAGATAAATTTCTCCACAATATCTTAATGAAAATTCATCAATTTGTAATGACTTTATAAAATTTTCAATCATGTCTTTATTTTCATTATCGTACTGTTCAAGAGCTTTAGTCCATTTTTTTTTCAATCGATTATCAATATCATCATCAGCTATTGCTATTCATGAAGGTAATAATAATATTAAAATAAACTTAGAAAAAACTTAGACATGCAAATTCAATGTTAGACAAAACTCATTTACCCTGCATATTTAAACTTTTTATATCCAAAGTTTGCCTTTATAGACATTTCACCTTTTGACCTTACTCCAATGCAAGGATAAAGATTACCCTTTAAATCTTTTAAGTCTCGAAATACAATTTCTTAGAATTGGTATAAAACAATTATTAACTTTATCTCTCAAATAAATTTAGGAATTAAAAAATAATTACCCAGATTCATGCCATTTTTGGTATAGAATACAGTGTTATTTCTAAAGTTTAAGCAACACCCGATAGTATCGCTAGCTTTAAACGTAGGGCCATGTGGTTCTTCGAGCTCTGAACAATTAAAAAAATTTCCATCATCACTATGATATCCCCACGAGTCCTTACTACATCCTATGAATTATTTTTTAATATTATTTTTAATAAATAATATGTGTATTTTATATATATTTTTCATGATTGATAAAAATTAGTTTTTAATTACCGGGTAACTTATTTAGTTCAGCTGATTTTGTGCAAAATCCAATTGCAATAATCCTTCAAAAAGAATTTAAAAAATTATAAGGAAATGGGTCTTATTTAAAGCTGTCAGATGTTTTTTGTATCTTACCCTTTTCTTTCGTTTTTTATAATATCAATTTCAAAGTAAACCAATTTGCATTGTAATAGAATTAGATTATTCGTACGAATTATAGCATCATCACTATTTTCGCCTTATTTTGAATAAAATTTAGGATATAATAAGTTATTAGTTCTTATCATTATATGTTTATACAAAATATCTTTTGGTAAGATGATTATGGATTTTTGAGTGCTTTTTGATATATACCTATAAAAATACATATAGTAATAATGTATATTCTTACCCGTATAATTTACTTCAAGTCCGTTTGAATCCACATTTAAATGAGCAAATTTATCATTAACATTCCATGCAATTGGAGTCATATGGATTATTTAATTCAGCTCTGTTGATCCTATTTAATGTTTGTTCTATTTAATGCTTCAAAGCATTATAATTTTTAGTACAAAGGGGCAAAAAATTTATTATAACAAGTGTTAGCATTTTGGTGCTTCATTTCTTAGTTCTGTGTGCTAATACTAGTTATAATGC